GAGATTTGAACCGCTGAACTGCTGATCTAGCAGTCAGCCTGCAGTGCTGCATTTAACCACTGCGCCACCTTGGAGGCATTATTTCCATCTTCAATCTACCAAACCCCTATAACAACCACATCCTCTCTTCCAAAGGACTGTTCCCATGGATCAGGCCAAGACATTGTATCCAGCATCTTACTTTTTATAGGGGTCAATTGGGTAACTGTGGCACTCACAAAGAGGAGGTTAGGATCTGCCATTGTTCTCTGCAACTAGTACTTGGATCTACGCTCTTCCCATGTTGAAGGTAATACTAAATCTTCGAGACCAACAGCCCTTGATAGAACTGTTCTTCACCAGTGCTTAAAACTCATCACCAAGCAACAGAGAAAAGAAGACATAGCAGCAGACTTTTCTTTTTGTTTTTAAGTATTTTGAGTTCATATGAAGCTGGTACATAAGATTGGTGACAATTGTTAACAAAGAATAAATCTGAGAACCACCTTGTTTTACTCATCACTCTGGGAAATACAAATTATATTAGTATAGTGCAGACAAGAATTATTCTGATACTTACTGGTAGTAGTAATAGGTGGTAGTTCTTCTACTTGTTTTATATCCTTCTTTGGAGCAGATAACTGTTCATCCAGGTTTTTCAACCGGTCCTTGTCTTTTAGGAGACTACCAGGTTTTAGATCATTGATGTCAAGGGCCAGATTTTTGCAGAGCACTTCAATTTCAAACTTCAGATTCAGCTGTACAATATTTAATAATTTCAGATTTAATAATGTAATGATTTTAAGCTATACAGTCAATTTTCACAATTATGTCCATACACCATTCCAAATCATGGCATGCTCTGCAAAATAATTATTTCTTTCAAGGTAAGATTACATAGAAAATTAAATTGTGCTAGGAACATAAAATAAAAGTAACTGAATTACAACTGCTAACAATTGCCTCAGGAAAATACTCTTGGTCTAATATTTTGATCAAATTTAATAACATTCAGCAGTTGAGCTCAAACCTTGAAGCAAATTCATGTTCTAAACAAGAAACAGCTGAAAACTATAAGTAACTTAAACACAATTTACCTTTAAGTCATGCTCCTGATGAAGTTCTGCAAGAACATTCATGATTGCCATGGTCCATGGATTTGGGGGTCTGAAAACCTATAAGGTGAGAATGAAGAGAAAATCAGCACCCTGGTGTTAAAAATGGCATTGGGGAACATAAAATAGAATTGACACTACTACATATTAAAACGGAAGCAGCACAATTCTATCCAAAGCCGAGTAGTGGTTTGCCATCGGACTGCAATCTTAAATGCCAAAGGAATGGAGTGATTGGGGGTGGGGTGGGTGGGTTGTAGCTTAGCAGAATCATTTTCCACCCTTGCCCTATTTTCTAAGCAGAAGATGCCCAATATACTCATTTACTCCAATAAAAATTGATATCCTCTCATTTGAATGCATATGGATTTGGGACAGCTTTTTTTGACTGATGAGGACAAATCTATGTAAGGGCTGAACAAAAGCTTTGTGGGCATTTTCTATGATCAATATATTAAGTGGAGACTGACACAGAAAATCAAATAGAATTAATGCCACCAAGCAAAAAGTATACTGTGTTCTTGGCTCATTTCCACTTTTTAGAGTGGAATTCTGGTTTTCTCCCTTCAACATTATAGTTGGTTTAAGAAGGTTTAAAGGTTAACCCTGTCTAGTCATACTGTGTTCATCTCCATTTCTCAGCCGAGGGAGCCTGCATTGTGTGAGATACTTCTGTCATCAAGTGGTCAGCATGAAATATGGAATGCAATAACTTTCCTGCTGCATGCATTTGCATGCTTTTGAACTGCTAGGTTCAGCTCGTCAGAGATTAAAATCCAGGAAAAGCTTTTTAGGCTGATGGAAAACTTTGAAGAATTTGAAAGTGAAGTGGACCTATGGAAAGCTACAAAGAACCAACACTGGATGGAACCAACAGAGGAGCTGGCACCTGGGTCTGGCAAAAGCTGGGAAGTATGGAAATCATTGAATAGACTGTGCATGGGTAGGATTCAGAGCCCCTCTGAATAAATGGTTGCTTCTGTTCTTTGCAATTGTGCCCAATTAGGCTGATCCAGAGCCAATCCTTCATCATCAGAGAAATCCCTGTCTATTACCTCACCTTCTTCCACCAAGGCCGAATCCTCACTATAGATTGAGGGGAGAGGTGAGGATGGGCCTGCCTGAAGATCTGGGAGATCCACCTGCAGGGCCTGGGGATTAGGCCCACTCTGGGTACTGGGGGCTCCAGGAGCCTGAGCTCTGCGATGCAGCTCAGCATCCACACCCCTGGATATCGCTGCAGAGATCATCTGATAGAGATCTGGGGGAAGGCCTAGATCTTGGCCTTCCACAGGCCTCAGGCCTGCAGCATTAGGGTAAAAGTAGCAGAAGGCCCAGTACGTGGGATTGCGTAGGCTGAAGCTGCACTGGCTTCCGAAAGGACCGGAGGGGATTGAGGCCCCAATGCCCCCTCCCCAGAAATAGAAGCCTGGGGTAAGGGAAGATCCGGTGACCAACCCTGATTCCCTGCTGGGCGCAGTGAGGGGACTGGTGAAATACGCTGAGGAAGCAACACCGGGGGTGAATTGGGAACCACCCCAGTGGCCTTAGCTGCTGCCTTGGGCTTGTCTTTTCACCTATGGTCTCTATCTGGAGTTGCGGATGTGTCCCGAGGCTTTTGACTGGAGGCCCTGGTAGCGGCCCTGCCGGGCCTCGAGCTAACCCATGCCTAAGCAGGGGGTTGGGATTCAGTAGAGGGATCTATAATACCTCCTGAGGTGGATTGGTCAGCCATTATTACTGCAAGAAGTGAAAAGGCTCAACCGCACTGTATCACAAGGTGTTAAATGCACCAACAGAAGCGGGCTGCGTGGCAAGAAGGAACTGCGCTAGAACGATCCTCTCACTAAGCCAGCCAAGCTGAAGTGAGGGAAATGGGAGGAACCAATGACTCAGCGGCTCCTTTGGGCGCGTAAGGCTCGCAACACCCCTTCCGGTTGCTTTCGGGCGTGCATGTGAAAAAATGTCCCAAAATGGCGACTGCAACTGTGGTGCAAAATTTGAATCTGGCCAGCAGCCAACGATGCCGCCCTCAGGCTCTCCACCGTGTGGATGCCTTCGGCGGAGCCAGCGCGCTAGCACGAATGAGCGGTGGCCGGCCAATAAACACGGGGAAAATACCATGCCGCGGCAAACGCGCAAACGGGCAGAAAGTGGCAAAGTGATCCCACGCTGGCAACTGCGGCCGCTGAGCTCAGAGCGTAACAGCTCCTATAAGCCTGCAATTACCTGGCCCCGGACGTTGTATGAGCGCTGAAAGGTCTGGGCTGGCAGCGAACTGCCACCTCTCCCTTTAGCCTTGCAATAAACGTTTCTGAAGTGCTCCTAGCGATCTGTTGAATCCAAGAATAGATGAGAATTTTGTCGATTAGTCTAGAGAAAATTGGTATACGTCTCTTCTGGCTGGACTGAGTTAAAAAACTGACCCATCCAGTCAGAGGAGATGTGGTCAACATTTACATAATTCAGTCTCTAGGCTAATGGACAAAGTTAACCCATGCTTCAATTCCCCAAGCAGCGCACAGGAGAAGGTGGAGGATTTCTGCCTGCATGAGATCCCTTTTCAGGCGGCTTTTTGGTGTCGGGCACCGAATGAACGACCTCTGGGGAAAGGACAGAAACTCTAACACTAGGCCCCTCCTGATCGTGTTGAAGACCCAGGAGTCTGTGGTGATCTCCTTCCACACGTCAGCGTACACTTGGAGCCGACCCTCTATGGGAGGATCCCTGTGGTGGTCTTTTGCCCCTGCGGAACTGACCGGAAGAGTTCCCGCCCCTGTATGGCTTCCGAAAGGACTGCTGTTGCTGCCTACCATATAATCCAAAGGAGCCCCTTTCCTGACCTCTGTCCCCACCCTGGGAATAGGGTCTATGGTTAAGTGGAAGAGGTGGATGGTTGGTTAGTATCCTGGTTCCGAAAGGACTGGTTTTGAAAGGAACCAGAGTTCTTACGTTAGTTCTTTTTCAAAGTAGCCGGGAGGACCTTCCGTTTGTCCTTCGTTTCGCTGACAAACTTATCTAGGGCATCCCAAAGAGCTGCCCCCCTTTAAACGGAGCTGAGGCGAGCTTCCAGTTAGCCTTCATGTCGGCCTGCCAGTGGCAAAGCCACAGCAGCTGACACGAGGTAACGTTGGACGCCAACGCCCTAGAGGCAAATTTAGTAGCATTCAAAGAAGCATCTGCCGAATACTCAACTGCTGTAATTATATTGCTGAGGTCATGCTTCCACCGGGATCCCCTGGTGGGAGGCTTAGCCCTCAACTGTCTCAGCCAGAGAAGGGACACTCTGATGAAGAAAGAAGCCAAGGTGGATGCCCTGATAGCCCAGGCGGCTGCCTGGTGCGTCTTGTGGCGCGCCTTCTCAGATCTTTTATCCTCTACCTTAAGACCCTCTAGGAGATCAGCCGGCAGGTTTGAAGTAGAAGTCAAGGAAACCACCAGGGCATCCACCTTGGGCAATTTCAACACGCCCTCCATCTTACCCTCAACAGAATAAAGGGATTTGTTCCCTCCACTAGGATTGGTCAACGTACTGGGCTGGGCCCACTGACATTGGACAGCATTTATGAATAGGTCCGGGACAGGACTGACCTCCTGAGTAGGAGTTGTCTCCTTGAATAGATCCTCCTCGGGATCTCTGGAAGAAGAGGGCGTAACTGGCGTAACTGTTGTACCCTTAGGAGCAGAGCCCAATTCAGTAGCCACTTTGGCGTTATGTAGGATAGACTTAAACAAGGTCAGCTTGAACAGGCCAGTGAAGGCCGGCTTCTCAGGGGGAAGATCCTCATCTTCCAATAACACAAAAGCCTTCAGCCTCCTCTTCCTCCTCCCAAATTGACTTCTCCGTGGCCACCGAAGTGCCCAGAGAGGCCGGCGCCTGAATAGGACTATTGTCTCGGGCCCGCTTAGATTTGGATGAGCCAGGTTTACTGGCCTCCCTGTGCTTCATGCCCTCGGCTATGCCCTGGGAAATAGCAATAGAAATGATCTCCCTCATTTTGGCTGACAGAACAGGTCCCTTGTCCTCCCTGGCATGAGAACCAGGACGGACAGGCCTGCTCCTGCGACTCCCAGTGCTACTCCCTTCCTCCGGCGGAAGTAGGCCTTGGAAGGGCTCCAGTTCTTCCCTGAGGGACGAACTTGGGGAGTCTGGATACCCCCATGATGCATCTGGGGAGGAGGCCCTGGACCCTTCCCCCATGGGAGATGGAGATCTGCTGCCCTGAGGAGATTGAGAGTCCCGTTCCCCCCCCCCCCAGGAGGTGGGTGAGCCTGGCTTTTGCCCTGCTGGAACAGGGGATGCCTGCCGCTGTGGGGCCTTGGCCTCCACAGTTTCTTGCTTCCGGGGCTCTCCTTGGTCTTGCTAGTGGCCCCAGAAGCCTCCAGGGAGGCTTTCATGGTGGTGCCTTTCCCTCCCTTACTGCCCTTGGGGGGGAACCTCAATCCTGCTGCACTTGGCGGAGGGCCCTGCCTGCACCTCCGTTCCATCGTCTGCCATGCTTCCTGACTGAAGAGAAGTTTCGCAGCTGATAGGCACCAGACGCTTAGCCAGCCGGCAGAAGCGCATCCATGAATCCTCAGTGGAGGGAGGGCCACCCAAGGGTCGGAAGCCTCCCTTCCAGACACCCCCAGGAGAACCGGGCATAGGAAATGAAAGACAGGCCTGGCCGGGGTCCAAGACAAGACCTGAGCTTTCCGGCGGCGATCCACAGCTGAGGGGCTCGGGCGATCTCACTTGCGATCCGACGGCACGCTCCAAACGACCTGCTCTGCATGAGGCTCAAGAAAAAATCGCCTGCAGCTCTAAGCAAAAAAGCCTGTGAACTACCAAAATGGCCGCTGCCGTCCCTGCCGATCGTGTGGAGCAACGCTGCAGCCGCCAGGGCGCCCAGCCAATGGCGCAGCTCTCTAAATGCAGCTGAGGGGGACCCACACGGTTCAAGAAGCCTCCTGCCCGTCCCCTTGCTCGCCGGCCACCACCGGACAAGCTATTCACTGTTTCCTGCCCCGCATGCGACCAGCGGGCAGAGAAACGGACCAGCGCCCTCTCAGAAGATACAATTAAGTAGAAGGTATGAAGATATCGTAGAATAGTGAAAAAGAAAATTTTTTGTAGAGAAATCAAGCTTGGGGAGTCCAGATATCTGCTCTAGGATTGGAGCGCTCCCAAAAACAGTACAAATGGGCGGACTGAGTTTTAAAACTGAAATGGAGGCAAAGGGAGGCGTGGCCAAGAGAGAAAAAACTCACTCAGTCCTAGGGCAGATAGACTGTGTTAACCCACGCTTGGACTCTCTAAGCAGTGCACTGGAGAACGACCGGAGAAGTAAGACAAAGGAGTCCCAGGTCCCTTGGGTCTGAGAAGGGTTGCTCACGAAGGACAGAGGGCGCAGGATGATCAAGCAAGGAGGGAGGAGAAATGGTTTGGTTACATATAAAGATTAATAAAAAAGAACTAAGTTATGATAATGGATATAGTCAAATAAAGGAGAGATAATGATAACAATGTATATATAGGCATGGGTACAACGTGGGGAAATTGGATGTAAATTGTAATCAGTGATTTGGAAAGGAAGATTAGAAACCTTTGTTACTAAATGTTATTGATGTTTAGCTAGAATAGGCCATAAGAAATAGTGCTATTGGGATACTAGATAGCAAATGAGATGCCAGTATGTGGCTATGTCTTGAGTTTTGGTATGATTTATGATGAAG